CCCTTCACAGACAGACAGGTATCAGTACAGCAGAACCTGTGCAGCTTCTGTACAATTTAGCCTAAACAATTGAATGAAATATTCAGGGGTAAGACCAAAAGGCCCCTAAAACATCTGAGAAAACAGGGATTACTGGACCGTTTTAAAGCAAGCACATAAGACTCATTATCACTGTGGCATATTGGCAGGCTCATTTGCTTTTCACAGCGAGTGTCGGGTCCAAAAACCCTCCCCCCTGGGATAAACCCGTGTATGGGGAGCGGGGGCGCTGTGGCCCCAGCAGCAGGTGGCCCATTGCAGCCTAATGAACACGGCAATCTGTTACTATCGCCACGGCGCTTTTCACCAGACAATTAGGCGACTAAGCGTGTAATTATTCTGGGCCAACAAGAAGAGGCTCTTCTCTAATTTCATCTTTACATTTCTGTTTACTCACTCACACTGCTCTCATTAATGAGAGATTTTCCAGTGTATGCTAATTGGTTTCAATAACATTCATTTTAGTTGAAAGGGAACGATTCTGTTAATTGAAGAGTGGGAGAGGAGGGGCAAAGATATAGAAATAAATAAATGAATGAATAAATAAAAAGAGCCTGCGTCTTTTTATTTTCGAGAGCGGCGGATGCTTTGAACGCGATCAACAGGTTCAGAGCTAATGAAATTAAGTGACGCCGGCAGCAGCAGAAAGGAAATCGCAAATTAAAAGCAATTTATTTCTCATTGAAGCATGCGGCAGCGTTCAGGTGCAATTAATGTGCGACGTTTAAGCACGAGGAAAAAACTTGGGATTGTTGCGAGGATGGTAAAAAAACTCTGAACTTTTGAGTTGCTAATTTTTAATGTTTTTACTGAGTATGCACACATATGTGCGTGCGTGGAGGTAAGCAAAGCTAAATTTTCCTCTGTGCCAGGCTTACAATACGACGAGAAGTCTCTCCGTAGACCACCTCTGGTACAGCTAACACAAGATAATTTGAGATGATTTGCATGCAATTTGCATAATATCAGGACACAAGCTACAAATAGGTATGAGTGTGTCTTAATTACAATGGGCTACACTTTTCAAGAAGGCACGCTTGCATTCTAATTGCATTAGCTGCTGCTTGAATTCAAGACGCAAATTCAGTCAAGCAAAAATGCCTGTTTAGGATGTGTTCGGTGTTGTTCAGTAATTATGTTCGATTAAGCACTCTGCCATCCCTGCTCGCCTTAACAGAAAGACTTTCAGTAAAACTACTCAACATTTAAAGGTGGTTCAGTTCAGCACTTTTAGTAATAAGGACATTGTTGTCTTTTTGTAAAGTATTAATAGCACGGGCATTAAATATGTATGGTAACACTTTAATATAGGGACCAATTCACACTATTAGTTGCTTTTTAGCATGCTTATTGTTCACATATTGGCTGTTTATTAGTGCTTATAAAGCACATATTCTGCATGACCACTAACCCAACTTCTGGGTTAAAAATGTAATGTAAAATTTTCACACAATGGTTGGGTTAGTCCATATTTGACCCAAAGTTGGGTTGAAACAACCCAGCATTTTTTAGAGTGCATATTCTACATCTCTAAAACCTAAACTTAACCTTGCTAATGATTAATAAGCAGCAAATTAGGAGTTTATTGAGGCAAAATTTGTAGTTAATGGTTTGTTAATGGCAATATTTGGACCTTAAAATAAAGTGTGACCATATAAGATTCTAAAGTAATTCATTGTACCTTTCCTTTCACCTCACATTCTCAGGACAAAAGGTACAAAAGCTGTCACTTTTCTAATATGTACCTTTAAGATACTTGTATGGACCCTTTAGGGGTAAATGAGGTACAAAGGTGTACCTTTTGAAAGGGTACCGCCCCAAGTGACAGATTTTGTACCTTTTTTTTCTCGGAGAGTGCATGGCTCAGAAACACACAAAAGGTTTATTTTCTCATTTTCTATTGGAAAGAGGAAGAGAGAGAGGGGCACTTAATAAAAAAAAATGCCACAATTTTAATATTGCATTAACAATTACATACCAATTAGTGAGTGATTTTTTTAAAACCCCCGCTGCTCTCCAAAGTATGGTCATTAATTGATGTGCAGGGCTGGGGTACGAGCACCTGAGGTTGCCAAGGTTACCAAATGGAATCCTCCCTCAGACATCCCCGATCTGCATAATTCCATCATATAATTCAGTGGCTTTCAAAGTGAGGTTGATGAATGGCACCTTCAGAAGATAATATTTCTGCTCGGCTGTAATAAATCTTATGTGAAGTGCTTTGGGTGTGTGTGTGCGTTTAGTTTTTGGGGGACATGGAAGGTAGGATGAAACTCATCGCATACCCCCCCAATCCCCATTTTTCTTTGTCTGTTTCTCTGCAGATATCATGAACATTACTTGCTTACCTTCTCTTGATTCAGAAGAACACCCTGACCTGAACTTTTTAACATGCGTATTGTGTTTAATCAAACGGCCTCTTAATGGCTCTCGTTAAACTGCTCTCTGGAATACTAGATTCTGATTGGTCAACGGCAGCATTCAGCCGTCAGGTATTTATTAGATATTTTCGAATTAAGTGGATGACTGAGTTTTGAGCATATTGACAGTCTGTTTTAGGTTTGAAAGCTACTTAAATGTGCAGGTGTACACATTTACGCTCTGGAGGTTCTTGAAAATCTCACACATTCACCGAGGCCCAAGAGAGACCAAACGATTCTTGTTCTAGCGGGACCCGATTGACCAAGATGCCAGATAAACACCTGTGATATTGATCCCCGATTCCAAACAGTCCGCAGCCGAGAGGCCAGCACGCCATGTTCTCCGCACATTGCTATTAATAAAACAGCGTAGGTCAAGCAGAAGTGACCCCAGTGCCTCAATAGTGTTTAAAAACAGGTTCGACCCCGGCGATAGCGATATGACCTTCTCTTCATTTATTCATGGCGGTGGTTATGGCTGTCTCTTTTTTGTCCGCTCCTATCAGGAGTGCTTGTTTGCCTTTAGCGGGTGCATGTATTTACCATGCATTAAGCCTCATTAGACGTTAATTGAATGTTTGGTCGCTGAGGGGCGAGTGGTGATGGAGAGAGTGTTATAGCTAATGATGAGAGAGGGAAATGAAGAGGGGGAGTGTTTTTTCCTCTTCCCACTTTTTTTTTGTGTGTGTCCCTACAAATATAAACACTTCTTATTTAATTTCCTTCTCTTCCTCTTTTGATTTTCATTAGATGAAAGAAAATAGTCTTTATTGCTCCCATGCCATTATGTGTGAGTGTATCTGCGTGCAATTGCAGTGTGTCCGCCTGCATGTAAAAATAGAGAGAGATATGAGCTAAGTGAAAAATCAAAGTCACGAGTGCGTATTTTCTCTGACACACCTGTGAGTGATTACATTTGTTTACTAATTAGGTTTTATTTTCCATTATTAATGTTTTTAATAAGCCCAGAGTCAGGTGTGGCTGACAGTAATGAATGCCTCATTCTCGAAGTTCGTTATTGGCGAGCTGCTCTGCTCCCTAATAAAGGGATAATTACTCCATGTTTGTACAGACATAAAGAACTGAGTATTGACTTTTTGACAGGCTGTGACGCCGCTCGCGCTAATGACATTTTAAATTGTACGTTTATAGCTATCACACAATGAGAGAGTTCATCATGTTTTCAGTAGATGATAGATAGATAGATAGATAGATAGATAGATAGATAGA